GCCCCCCCCCCCCTTTTCCCCCTTCCCATGCCAACCCCATTTCCTCCTTTGTCTTGAATGTTTTCATTCGCTCATTAATTCATTCATTAATTCATTCCTTCTTTCATTCATTCATTAATTCATTCATTCATTAACTCTTTCTATTCGTACATTAGTTGTTTTGTTGATTTGATCATTCATCTCGTTGCTCGTCCCTTTTGTTCCCTCATTTGTCCTTCAAGTCACTCTTCATTTTTAAAAATCGTTATCCCGTTCATTCGTAGAATCAATCTGTTCTCCTTATTCGTGTATGTCGTTCCCTTCTCCTTTCTCCATCTTACTGCTCACCGTCAGCAGCCATTGTCTCCTTCGACCAGGTTCTTTCTTTATCATATTTTCATTATAATCATAGGCCTAGTTTGAATCTAATCACATTTACAACAGTTCCTGCTCTCTCGAGAAAACTCCCATCAGTTCCCACGATCTGCTTTATCCCAGTAAGTTTTTTGGCGTTGTTTACTCCAGTACAACTTTGTTGTCTTAATCCGTTGCTGTGTTGGTCATTCATCCCACAGATAATTATTATTGTCCCATTCGCCAGCCTCACCTCCACCCCACCATAACGTACCTTTTCTTTAACTGCCTCAACAAACACTCGTGTGTCGGGAACCCCTAGTGGTGGTGGTCTGTTGAGATGACCCTTCGGTCATAACCCTGACCCCTGTGTAATGAATTGATCCCCGTGAGGTCACAGTGTTGTTGATAAATCTGACTCTGACTGTTGAAAGTCGCAGTGTCAAATGTAAACAATCAAATTATGTCTTTTATTCCGGACGAGGCGTGCACGCACCGACCAGGCACTGTTTTGCTGTGGGTGAGATAGTCTGTCAAAAGCAGCGTTTATGAAACATTTATCATTGTCTATGTAAATACCTATAACGATGTGTGTTAACACTCTGAACAGATTCATAATATGGCGATGACTTTTAAATTGCTTTTTGCACCAGTGCGTGGCTTAGAAATAAGAAGGGTTAACTGTTTAATATAAATTGATATAAACATACGGAAAACAGTTTGGGCTCGTGTGAATGTGTGTACCTGGGGGAGGGAGGGGTGCCTTTGTATACGTGTATGTATGTCGTATCTATTAAGTCAGAAATGTGTGTACCAACACAAGTTCAGCTTAGCATACGGTGCGTCTTTGTAACACGTATGCGTGTGTACATGTGCGCGTTTGTGTTTGCGTGTGTGTTTGTATACGCGTTTGCTTATCTTTGTATGTGTGTATATGTATTTGTTTTTGTGTCGTGTGTGATTTGTTGAACTCCGGTATGGTTTGCTTGTTCAACCCTTTTCTGCGCTAACTGCAGTAAACAACAGCCCATTAAGGCAAAGATAGCTCACATGTCAGGCATCAGAATGTCGACAGGCAAAACGAGTATGGACCTATCGAAATACCCTGCTTTCTCTCTCTTTCTTCCCCTTTCTCCTTTTCTGTCTCTGTCTGTCTGTCTGTCTGTCTGTCTGTCTGTCTGTCTGTCTGTCTGTCTGTCT